TCCACAGCAGGTCTGGACTCAGAGCTCAGGAAAGGGGAAGGAATTCTGCTGGGAGGTCACTCTCAAACCACGCAGCTGCCGCTCTGTCAGGTCTTTCTGGGGCCTGGGGGACAGGAGCTCAGGGGGCTCTCCCAAGCTGAGCAGCAGGCGTTGTTGTGAAGGGGAGGGAAGCCAGGCCCCCTTCTCCTGGCTCCCTGTGAACTTTTAGGAGGTGGGGCAGCTCCCCACCCCCTCTGCCTCCAGGTCACCCCTCTTTCTCCTTTAGAGTCCTTCCTGAAAGGTTAATTACAAAATCATCTCATCGAGGGAAATTACATTTTGTGCCTTTAAAGACCAAATTGAGCTTCAACAATGTAGTTATTTATGGTCTCTAATAAGCATTTTCTGGGTGTGATTAACCTTTACGCCAAAGTCACACTAGAATTTGCGATGGCAGCTTCCATTCCAGCCTGCTCTGCGCTGGCCTGGGCGTGGGGGCAAGAGCAGCACCCGGAGCAGGCAGCTGACACACGGTGCCCCCTCCCACTCCACCCTCTATGCCCAGGCCCGCACCCTCCTCTACCCGTCCCTTCTCCCATGCCCTGTCCTGACCTGGGCCATCCCCTCCTCCATCTTTTATCCACACAAAGAACAGACCCAGATTGCCTGCTTACGGGCTCCTAGTCCTCACTCAACAGCTGAAAAACAGTTCAGTGATCTTGAGCACCTCAACTGTGAAGCCCGTAGGAAACGGGAAGCATAGTCCTATCCCTCTGCTTTCTGCAGCGCAGTACCCCTTGGGACAGGTGAGCGAGCCCAGCATTCCACCAGCCATTTTTGGAAAATTGTAAACCTTGCAAAGCCCTGAAGGCTTGGTTTGTCAAAAATTGTCCTGAGCCCAGCTGCTGTGGCTCAGGGGTTGAGCATCCACCTAGGAACCAGGAGGTCACGATTCAAAACCTGATTAGGGCATATGCCTGGATTGTGAGCTCGACTCTCAGTAGGGAGCATGCAGGAGGCAGCTGATGATTCTCTCTCATCACTGATGTTTCTGCCTCTCTCTCCCTCTCCCTTCCTCTCTGAAGTCAATAAAAATATATTTTAAACAATTGTTCGGAAAGGAGAAAAAGTGGCGAAGGCTGATGTTGGGAGCGGGAGAGGGAAACAGATGGAGACATGGAGAGAGTGGCAGCTCCCAGGTCAAACCACCTTTGGGTGGCCCTCAGAGAGGATGACAGGTCGGGTTAGGTGAGGTCCGGGCCTCTGATGTGACCCCATTTGCCATATGCTCCGATGTTTGGGGGTTATTGGGCCTCCCTGAGAAGTGGAGGATGCTGTGCACCCTCCCCTGGAAAATGGTTGTCACTACACTCTATTTGCGCATTTACTTACAGGGTTTCGTGCCCCTGCCCTTGTGTGCTTGAGGGCCCTCAATTAAGGAACACTCAGCTTCAGAAAGAAATAAACAGCATCCTTGAAACTCTGGGGCCTGTTCCTACAATGCGGCAATTGCCTGTTGATGGAGACAGAAAACTGCAGTGAAAGTTGAAAAGCAGAGCAATGGATGGTGGGAGGAAATACTCCCGATTTTTCATGGAAGTGTGATTCAGGAATAAGCCAGAAGCCTCTTCAAGCCCTTCCGCAGTGGCACAGACACACGTTGTGTGCGGAGCTGACCTTTCCTGAGCGGAAAGGTTGGCTCGGGAATATTAAGAAGCCCTTCTCTTTGCATAATGCAGAGCCAGCCCTCTCATGGTAGAAAATGACTTTGCGAGCCATCAGACCAAAGAAGGAGATGGAAGGGTCAGGGTTGTAGCCGGGAGAGGCTAAGCCCTTTGTCCTGCGGCATTTGGTTTGGTTTTATGATGAATCTGGATTGCTCTTTTCCTCAGTGAGCTAAGTAAGACGCGTGGCCGGTGTATTTTCCATCCACTTAGAACCCTGGGGCGTGAGTGCATTGTATCGAGGCTGTTTCACGCACCGGGGGCTAGTCCAGGGTCTCCATCTGCCGGTGCCATGAGCACCAGGGTCTGGCACCTGTAAGAAGGGACGGGGTGACTGAGGTGCTCCACTCTGGGGGGTCAAGGAAGGCGCTGCCAGGCGGGAGGGCTGCTGGCCTGGCTTTTGAGGACTGCAGAGCTCGCCCGGGGAAGGGTGGGCCAGGCTGAGGAGCGACGAAGAACTGCAAGGGCACAGGTGTGCAGACCCGCAGGATCCGTGCATTGATGGATAAGCAATTCCATGGGAATACAACGCGGCATTTTAAGGGGATGTGAAGACTGAAGCACAAAGCGCAACTTCAGGATCAGAAGGATAATGGTGGAATGTCGAGCATTTGACTGATATTCTGGAATAGGGTGTTTCTGTTTCTTTAATTTGCCTGTGGCTGAGCTGGTTCTCGGAGCCCCACTTCCATTCTCTGTGTGCGCGCGCGTGTGCATGCTGGGAGGGAGGTGGCAGAGATGCGGGGAGGAGGAGGAGGGCGGGCAAGCTGGGGGCAGGGAGTCCTATCGTCTCCTTCCGGAAGGAGCCTCTGGCCCTCTGAACAGAGCAGCTCCTCTCCGGGGACAGAGCAGAGCTGGGTCCCTGCTGACTGTGCTGAGCTGAGCTGAGCAGTGCAGATTTGTCCCTGAGGACTCCGCTCTCTGCTCTGCCAGCAAAAAGCCACTGGCTGGCCTGATGGCTTCCTCTTCTCTCCAATTCTGCGTTTTCACTTGGAAAATGAGAGTAAAGACATTCCGCCAGCTCTCTCGGGTGACTGCGAAGTTTAATTACTGATTAATCAAGTGTTGGAAGTTCCTTGGGGCCAGAGGGTTAAATGGGTTCGTTCTAATATCTCCCGAGTCCCAGGAGTGAGTTAGCTAACCCAGCGCTGTTTGCTGAGCAGCCGGGGTCTGGGCCCCAGATGCGGGGTGCAGGGCTGGGGGTGTGCTTGGGAGCTTGGCTCAGGAAGAGCACAGAGACCCTATCACATGACAGAAGGAGTGTGCCCGTAAGTGAAGAGAGTCAACAGGTCCACTAAGGACCCAGACAGAGCACTGAGGGGATGATTGTGAATTATCAGGGGACTTCCTGAAGGAGGTGGTGGCAGGACAGACTGATCGGGAGTGGGGAGCACTCGATTCCACCTTGGAATGTAGGGTACGAGAGAAGAGAGGGCAGCCTGCCTTTGTCGTTGGACAGGTGTGGGAAGGTGCAGCTACCCAGAAAAGGGGGTGGCACTGGGAGGGGCAGAGGGGGACAGGGTAGGAGGGGACATTTGAGACAGGTGAGCATGAAAACTTCGCCTCTGGAAAAGGCAAGTCAGTTTGCCTCTGGACTGTGGGGAGAGTGAGGAGGAGTCCAGGGGAAGGGAGGCGGTGCCGCCATGGGAAGGGTGGAGTGGGGGATGGTAGAGCCCAGCTTGGGCAGAAGGCATGGGAGCAGGGCAGGACCAGGATTAGGGTGAGGCCAATGAGGCATTCTCCTCAAGGGCAAAATGTCAGGTGCCCCAAATCTCAGTAACCAAGAGAAACACTATTCTAATGTTCTTACTGATCTTTCCTTTTACCTCAAGCGCCAATATAGCCCAGCACTGTTACTGATCTTGTCTTAAAAAAAAAAAAAAGTTTTGAATATTTTGTTCATTGTGGATTTTTTGCATTAATTTATCATTTTTAATATTGCATTAAAATATTATTTATCTTGAGTACGAAGTGTTTTGGTGCCGCCTTAGAGTTTGTACCAAGGCGATGCTTTGCTCTCCTCACCCTGTTCCCGGCCCTGTGAGTGAGGGCTGTGCACCCACCACCCTGCCCCTCCTCCAAACTAGCCATTCGCTCCGTGGGACTCAGACAAGCCCCCCCTTCTCCCCATCTCATTTCTCCACTGTGAAGATCACGGTGTCTGCACTATGCAAATCTTCAATAAAAGCTGGAGAGGAAACTGAGGCTCAGAGAGGTCAAGTAACCTGTCCATGGCAACACAGTGAAACAGGCTGGACGCCAGTCTCCTTTGACTTAATTTTTTAAAATATATTTTATTGATATTTTACAGAGAGGAGGAAGGGAGAGAGATAAAGAGCTAGAAACGTCAATGAGAGAGAAACATCGACCAGCTGCCTCTTGCACACCCCCTACCTGGGATGTGCCTGCAACCAATGTACAAGCCCTTGACTAGAATCGAACCTGGGACCTTTCAGTCCACAGACTGACGCTCTATCACTGAGCCAAACCGGCTTCGGCTCTCCTTTGACTTTAAATCCACAGGAAGGGTGGTGACCTCAGGGGAGGGGACACCATGGTTGTGTGGGGTGTTACTGAAGAAGGGGCAGCCTTCCAGCTGTGGGGTCCACACCACTCTCCTCCCGTGGGCTGGAATTCCGGAATCAGAGTGCCGCCGAGCCCCTGGGGAATGTGAGGGGTGCAGGTTCTCCCTAGGACTGGCTAGGCGCATTTAGTTCTGAATTTGCTCAACTGTGAAAGGGACACCCACACCTGCCCGGGAGAGTTAAGTGCCATCGCGGATGTAAAGAGGCTGGGTAAATGGTGAGGCACAAGTTGTAGGGACTGGTCATTAGCTGGGTAGGGGTGAGGCTGGGGAGCAGCTCTCTGAGCAAGAGACCAGGAGAGCTTGCAGCTCTGAAAGGAGGAGGGGGAGGTGCACTAATGAGGATCTATGAGCCGGGGGCTCAGGGTGCTGGGGCACAGTTGGGTCATGCTTGGGATCCCATGTGGATGGACACAGCAGGTTGTTTAGTTGGGGGCCTTCCTTCTCACTGGGACCCTCTAGCCCTCGGAAAAAATTTACCTGCCCTGGGGACCTGGGTTCCTGCTCTTACCAGCCTCCTTCCCAGGGCCCTCCATGAGCAGGGCAGCTCTAGACCAGACAGGGAGGATGGGGGTGGGGGAGGTTGTACATGTGTGTGTGTGTGTGTGGGGGGGGGAGGTCTGGGAAGAGACATGGGTGAGAAGAGGGTAGGCAAGAAGCTGCAGGCTGGACTGCTCAGTCTAACCATGTCCCTCTTCCCCCTGTGCCCACAGGCCCTTCTCCTCCTGGGGCTGAACCCCGTCTCTGCCTTCCTCCAGGACCAGCACTGCGAGAGCCTGTCCCCAGCCAGCAACGTGTCTGGTGAGTACCCCCACTCTGCTCCTGCAAGAGTCCGGCCCTGCCACCTGCCCCAGTCCGTCACCTGCCCCCACCAGGATTCTCACACACAGCCGTGCCCTACGGCAGGGACAGCAGAGATTTCCTCTCCAGGGCCCACGCGATTCCTCTCTCCAGGGAGGGAGTGTTGTGTGAAGGCGGATCCTGAAACTGGTGGCAAAGAGAACTGTGAATAGGTCACGGTGTCTGCTACACACACAGGAGGGGCTTGTGGCAAGGGAGCTGGGTGGTAGGCAGGAGGGGCGGTTGCCCCAGCCCTTGCTGCTGTGAAGATCGACAGCGCGGGGCTGAGCTGTGGCTCAGGCAGGCATCGGGGAGGAGAAAGGCTGTGTTCTGTGCTGAGCAGAGCAGTGTAGGGGGCTAACTCTGCCAGACGCTGCCAGAGGACTCTGCGCTGTATTAACCCGGGTAGGTGCTGTAACCCTCACCTTACACCTAGGGGAACGGAGCACAGAGAAAAACTAGCACGTGTCAGAGCCAAGATTTGAGACCAGGCAGACTGGCTTCCAGATAACGTCTTCAACTCCAAGCTCGACACTGCCTCAGTGAAAGCCCTGCATAACTGCAAATGTGACGAATATTTGTATAACTTCTTGTTGTTTTCTAGAAAGGGCTTTTGAATAATGGTCCTATTTCATGTTCATAAGAGTGTAAGACCCATTTTTTTTTTCAGCTGAGGGAACTTAGGCACAGGAGCGTTACACGGGAAATTTAGGTCTGTGGCTTTGCCTTGCGGAGACTGTGCCTTTTCTAACCTTGGGTGAGACCCCTGAGCCCTCACCCTGGCCCCTGGAATAATGCTGCTGCTGGCCAGGCGGGAGATCTCCCTGCACCTGAGGGTCTTGGTGATTTATTTTCCTCGTTAGGTCTCTCCTCCATTCAATCCAAAGTGCCTACGATATAGCTGGGTTGAGGGGAAGGCACTTGCCATGAATTGCTCACTACAATGCAGGTGGCAGAGAAATTAGATCAGGTGTGGCATGAATCCAGGAAGGCTTCCTGGAGGAGGAGGTTCAAGGAGAGTCCCTGAGAAACTCTGAGTGTGGACTGGCAGAGAAGACCCAATGCTCTGAGCCAAAGCTAGAGTTGACTGAAGACCAGCAGCTGAGTTTGGTGAGTTTTCCATCTGGCTGCAAAGTTGGCTAGACTGGGTCATGGGGAATGGAAAAGTTCTTGAGCGAGAGTCTGGAGTGCTAGCAGACAGAGACTGGGAGGGAGGACACCTGCTCAGAGGCTGGGCTTGAGATGCAAGGCCCTCCCCGTAGCCCCACATGCATGGGGGCCAGGTCAGGCTCCATTAATTTGCTTGTTGTGTTCAGGAGAAGTGACATCCCTGAGCCACTTGCCGGTGTCACCTGTCCTTGGAGGCAACAGGCTGTGATGAATACCTGATGGTTTGTACTCTGTGCCATTACCTCCAGCTTGGCTCAGCATGTGGGGCTTCCTGGCACACAATCCATCACCCTCTGCAATGGCCTCTGATAATGTGCTATTTGTCTTCGGAACCAAGACCTACCCAGACCAATGGGTACTGGCAGACAGATGGTGAGGGTGGGTGGAGGGACTGGGACAGATGGGTGGGCATCTGGCTGGGGCACCTAGCACTGAACCGGGGCCTTTGGGGGCCTTCTCACATGCCAGGAATAGGGAGGGGGGGTCCTCGGAGCCATCATGTGACAGATCATAGACTTGGCAACTCATAAAATCATGTCATGAATATGACAATGCCAGAAAGTAATAGAATCATTAACTAATGACAAATGCAATCATGTTGTTGACAAGAACCCATGGTCATCAGACCCAACCCGTCTTAAGGTCATGAATAATAACAATAATTAATGATAGCTTCTATTTATTTTGTGCCCACTAAGTATAGACACCATTCTACGTGCTCTAATCTCATTCAATCGTCAAACAGCACAGTCAGGAAGTATTTTTATCCCCATTTTTCAGAAGAGGAACCTAAGGCTCAGAGAGCTTTGATCACTTACCTGAGCATATACAGTTACCAAGCAGTCACTCTAAGATTAGAAGCAAGTGGGCCCGATTCTAGACTTCATCACCACCACGTTATGTGGCTGCCCAGGAGCCGTGGTACCCAGGGCCTAGCGTGGTCCATCATCCTGGATGCAAAGTCATCCCTGCAAGGTCCCATGCTCACACTGGGTTTGCACATGGCCCCTAATTGTCCTCCAGGCCTACTATGTGCCTGGCACTGTGCTAGGTATTGGGAATGCAAAAATGAAGAGCCCACGGGCCCATAGGATAGGAAGCCCATTTGTCCTGATGAATCACACACTCTGCAAAGGTATATCTTTCTTCGCTGCCCAGACAGAGAGGAGACAGCTCAACCACAAGGTGGTGGAGCAAAGAGGACTCTCTGCCTGCCCTCTGCCACCCTCTCCAGGCTGGTGACATAGGCAGAGTCCCTGCCTATTCATCCCAGCAGCACCTTCCTCTGAATAGCGTGTGTGTGTGTGTGTGTGTGTGTGTGTGTGTGTGTGTGTATGTTTCAGAAGCTGCTTCCCTCTTTGAACAGCCTTAGCTGAGTCCTGCTCCTGGGCTTAAACCAAACAGGAGGATGGGCTTCCCAGCCTCAGGGATGCTGCCCAGGGCCCACGTACTCTGGTTTACTCAGAAACCCCGGATGAGAGACCCGACATAACTGGGGTAGGAGCCAGGCTCCAGGCTCCCTCGGAAGGGCCTGCTGAGCACATGTGCACCCTGAGCCTGAGGGGAAGGGAACTGTGCTACTTACTTGGAAGAAGACACCAGAGCCCGATCATGCACAAGCATTGAATAGGCTACCTTCTAAGGGTTCCTATCTGTTCATTAAAGTAGCACCCCCCCCCCTTGATCCTGACTCAGCAAGGGTTTTCTCAGAGGTAGCGGGGAGCCATCCATGCTGCTCCTCTTCCCTCCATTCACAAGTGCTGGGGGTAATCTGACCGCACTGATCCCACGAGCAATGAGATCGTGGAGCCCCATGCATCTGCTCTGTGCACACGTGAGGAAGGAGGAAGATACAGGACCAGTGCTGCACTGGCCCATTGACTCTGCCCCACCCCCCACTCCCAGTGACAGCAGTGTCAACACGTCAGGTGCACCAAGTTCACACCTGCCTCAGGACCTTCGACCTTGCTGTTCCCTCTGTCTAGAACACTGTTCCCCCAGGTATGCACATGCCTCCCTCCCTCGTTTCCTTTAGGTTTCTCCTTAAGTGTGTTTTAGACACAACCAATTAAAATCGAACTCCTGTCTTTATCTCTTCATCCTGCTTATTTTTTCTCCATAGCATTTCTCATTGCTTAACAGATCTGTGTGTTTGGGTGCAGCCAAATGCTGTGCGGGCTGGTTGCCCAGGCTGGGGCCAGCTGTGGTGCCGTGGGAAGAGCCTCAACAGACATGAAACACTGACATTCAAAACCCATTTACGCTTCTCAGTGTCTGTGTGACTTTGCTAGGCTATGTGACTGCTTAGGCCTCCATTTCCTTATCTGTAAAACAGAATTAGTACCCATGCTGGCAGGTGGTGTAAGACCCACAGCAGGTGCTACAGAATCCACAGTCCAGGGGCAAACAGCGACTGTCCTGCCCATTCTCACCCCCAAACCCTAGACCAGCTGTGTGGGGTACCAGGGCTCGGGCATTGGCTGGTACCTGGTCCTCAAGGCCAAAAGGGCCATCTGCTCAGTGGCCAGTCCCTGCCTTGGCTCTGGCCTGGTCCTGGCTGGTGCCCAGTCCTGCCCTGCCCTCTGTTCTCTGTGGAAGGGACTCTGGGGAAGTGTCCAAGGCTGGAAAGAGAGGGAGAAAGGAAGAGGGAAGGGCAATGCTACTCTGACTGAGAGGGCAAGTCCCAGGTGCTGCCACACATGACATGCAGATGACATTCCATTTAATCTCCGCAGTACCTAGCTCAGGAGGTACTGTGAATGAATGGGTAAATGGACAACCTACTAAGAAAGGTACTAGGCGCCATTAAATCGGAGGGTATATATAAAGTGCCTGACAAGTGCCCTTCACACAGTCAGTCCTCAATAAATGTTACTCATTCCCCAATGCCTCATTGACTGTTCCCTTTCCCTTTACTGGCACAAAATGTGGTGTAATAGAAAGAGCACTGGAGTTAGAGTCAAAAACATATGTCTATGTGTCTTGGTTCTTTTCACTCATTGACTCATGACCTCAGGCAAGTCACTGGTTCCATGGACCTCAGTTTTCTCAACTGTCAAAAGAGGATAATGGCCGAAACCGGTTTGGCTCAGTGGATAGAGTGTCGGCCTGTGGTCTGAAAGGTCCCGGGTTCGATTCCGGTCAAGGGCATGTACCTTGGTTGCAGGCACATTCCCAGTAGGGGGTGTGCAAGAAGCAGCTGATCGATGATTCTCTCTCATCGATGTTTCTAACTCTCTATCTCTCTCTCTCTTCCTCTCTGTAAAAAATCAATAAAATATATTAAATTTAAAAAAAAAAAAAAAGAGGATAATGACATTGCAGGGTGGACGAGGATCCAGCACAATATATGAAGAAAAGTTTTACAAAAGCAGACATGGTTCACAATATTACCCCTCCTTTCCCATGGCCACATGCCTCCAGCTACTCCCTCTTCCGAGCTCAGCACTATCGACATGACCATGGCATTAAAATCTGAACATGCTTTTCTCACTCCGTGAAGCAATTCAGGGATGCTGCACTGTGGCACAGCACCAGGACTTGACCCACCATCTCATAGCCATGAAGCCCCAGTCCAACTTCTTTCTCTTCCAGTTAAACCATTTGGCCTCGAGGCCTCTCCCCTGGAGCCCTGATTTGCACGAACACCCTATGAATAGCTTTGATTAGAAAGGAAAACCAGCATTTGGTCCTAGTGCTGCTCAGCACTGCTCTGCATCCAGCAGGGACAGGATGCCAGTCTAATCCAGTGCTGTTTTCTGAGAGACTGGGGCCGAGCTAAACTGGGGAAGAGATGGCAGGTGGGCCCAGCCAGGGCTTGGCAGAAGGAAGGGCTGAACCCTAGAGAGCCAGGGTTCATGGCTCTCCCTGGCCTGTCTGTACATTCATGTGCCATCCCAGGTTATTAATCCCTCCCATTATGATGGGCACACTGTGCCAGCCCTATGCAGGGGATGGGCATCATAAGGCAGAGAAAGTAGGGGAAGCTCAGTTGGAGACCAGAAGTATTGCTGTGGCTTCAACTCCACCCCAACACACACACACACACACACACACACACACACACACACACACACGCTCCACTCTAAATGCTCTTTAATTAAGGGCAAATATTTGGAAGGGGAATTTGACTTCCACTTTCTAATTCATATGCTTATATCCTTTTTTAAGTCACAGGCCCTTTGAGAATCTAATGAAAGCCAAAGTCCCCTTCCTAAGCAAAATGCACATACATACAGACCAAGTTGTTCATTGAATCTCATTCTCTATGAATCATGAAAGCTCCCATGAACTGAGATTAAGAATTTCTGATCAGATCCAACCACTTCATTTTACTGTAAAGACAGGTCCAGAGAAGGCAAATGGTCACACAGCAAATGAGTAACACAGCCCAGTCTGAAGTCAGGGTTCCAGACTCCTGGTTCGGTGTCTTTCTGCTCCCCTGGATGGTGTCTCCCCGCCTTTGCTCCCCATGGTCCCTTCTCTGTCAGTCCTCTCAGGGCAGAGCACAGAGGAGAGTACAAGCAGTGTGTGTTTGGAAAATGTGGTCACCAGGCCAGCGGCAAGGCAGGCCAACTTCATTTAGCTGGTTCCTCCCTGCAGGGCCAGAGCACACGTGGTTTGGTTCTGAAGACGTGTAAGGGGGACTGGGTCAGGGGTGGGCTGGTTCCTTTCCACTCTGTGAAGTCTGACAGCTCAGGTCTGCCCCAAGTAACGTGCTGAGAAAAGTGTCCTCAGGTTACAGAGCAGAGGGACCTGAAGCATGTCCAGCCTTCTGCTACATGCCAGCCAGGACCTCAGCCACCTCTGTTCCTCCTCCACCCTGGAATCCACTCTGGCTCCCTAGTGCCATCGCATCAAATTCAGATTCCTTCCCTGGTGTCTTCCCCTGCATAGGATGAGCGATCATCACTCTAGTCCTGTCCCCCATTGTGGGGGGTAGGGAGAGGGATGTGGGCCTTTTAGGAGGTGGGGAGGCCACTGGAGTGGGATCTTGCTCTGCCTCACCAGCTGTCTCTGCCCCCAGGACTGCATTGCAATGCATCCGTGGACCTCATTGGCACCTGCTGGCCGCAGAGCCCCGCGGGGCAGCTGGTGGTTCGGCCCTGCCCTGCCTATTTCTACGGTGTCCGCTACAACACCACAAGTAAGGGGGCCTGTGGAGGGCGGACTTGGTGGAGAGGGGGAAAATAATAACAAAAATGAAAATAACAATAGCTCGTGGATACAGCAGCCACCAAAGGCCAGCTCTGCTCTGCTGGGCTCGGTGTGCTCACACTGCGGGTTCTCACAGTACCCCCGGAGACACTACACGTAACTGGATAGTGTTCATCGTGCAGCCCAGGCCTCTGAGGCTCAGAGAGGTCAGGGGACTTGCCCGAGGTCACCAGGTGGTAAGAGGTGAAGCTGGACTCGCATCCAGGTCTGTGTGACACTTCCTTCTGCAGTTGACAAAGTCAACTTGAGCCTCCAATAACCCCATGAGCCAGGGCGGGAATCCTCAGAACAGCCCCAACTTTGGGATGAGGACCCTGAACTCAGACTGTTAGGAGGCCTGGAGGTGGAGGACTCCGAGTTCATGATCTACAGCCATGTTGGCCTTGCATACGGGCCCACAGGTGTGTGGGGGGGGGGGGGGGAAGGGGAGGAGTAACCCCATTTTCAGATATTTGATCCCTTTGTAAACACCTTGCTCCCCTGAGGCCCTGAGCCTCCACCTCCAGGCTTTGCAGCTCCTTGCTATGTCACTTGTCACCCTCAGAATTAATTTGCTCTCCTCTGTCAATGACTCACAGCCCCTGCTTATCAAGACAGCAACACCTGCAGGCCAGAGTCCTCACCTGTCCAAGGGGAGGGTGGGCCCTTGAGGTCTGGTGGGCCTGAGCTCAGAGCCCCAAGAGGGTGCCAAGGGGGGACCACAGACATCAGGTGGTTCACTCTGAGACGGGCTGTGTGACCTTTAGCACACCCCTCCCCCCTATGGCCCTCTGCCCCCTTCCTGAGGATGGAGAGGGCTGGATGACACGGCTTCTAAGACTTCATTAGCTCAAAGCTACCAAGTTCTGTCTCCTGCCCCTCTCCCTTTTTTTTTTTTTTTTAAAAATATGTATTTTATTGATTTTTTTACAGAGAGGAAAAGAGAGGGATAGAGAGTTAGAAACATCGATGAGAGAGAATCATCGATCAGCTGCCTCTTGCACACTCCCTACTGGGGATGTGACCACAACCAAGGTACATGCCCTTGATCAGAATCGAACCCGGGATCTTTCAGTCCGCAGGCCGACACTCTATCCATTGAGCCAAACCGGTTTTGGCATGCACCTCTCTCTCCTTTACCAGCTGGACTAAGGTTAGGGTTGGGGACTTTAGCCAAGAAAGGGTTGGAGGGCCCTGGGGAGGCATTGGGGTCAGACAGGAGGTTGGAACAGCCAGATAAAGCAGCTTCATGTGCCTGGAACCCACAGAAGAAGGAAGATGGTAGGGGTGTGGGAGGACATCAGGCAAGAGGAAGGGCAGAAGGACCTCAGAGGATAGCTCGGGGCGCACAGCCGACCAGCCTCCAGTTTAGTAGGGCCCATTTCACAGTTAGAAAATGGAGGCAAAGGCTGTTAGCTGCCCAGGGTCACAAAGATTAGAAGCAGGGCCACACGGGGAGTCACAGCCCTCCTGCTACTCCACCACAATGTTGTGTGCCTGCAGGAAGAAGACAGCATTGGGGCTGGTGCATTGGGGGAGGGGAGTGTTGGAGGGAGGTCCCTCTCCCTCTCAGGTGCCAGGTCCTGCCCTTTCACCTCCAAAGTGATTCTCGTGTCTAGCTCTAAGTGCCCTCAGTCCCAGTGCCACTGTCCCTGTCCAAGGTACCCGATCTCTAACCCTTGTTTTGCATCTGACCCCATCACACCCTTGTTTGGAATCATCTTTTCTATGACTCCCCATGGCCTCCATGGTCAAATCCATACCCTTGAGTGGGGCTGGCCAGGCTCTCTTTGGCTACAGCCCCACCAAATTATAGCCAGCCCTGGCCACTCCCTATGCGCTTCCTCCACTCTTGTCCCCAAGGATGACTTGACATGCCCCAAAGTGAGTGTTTTCAGAACTTGGTGCCTGGGCACTCAATTTGCCAGCCCTGCCTTAAATGGAAGCCAGGAGTCCTGGGTTCCAGCCCCAGCTCCGGGTGTAACTGGCTAAAGAACCTCGGCATTCGCACTGGGCCTCAGCTGCTCCACCTGCAGAGTGAGAGGGAGGTTTGGGTGGGGTGCTCTTCGGCTTCCTCTCTCCTCCCTCTGTGATCCCAGGAGAGGAGCTGGGGGCGATGGCCCCTAGTTGTGAGGGCTGGGCTGGCAGATCCCTCTTTCCAGATGCCTAGTGCCGGAACAATGAGGAACACGCCCATGCAATCAAACAGTGAGTGAGAGCCCAGAGTTGCACCTACTCATTAATCACTAATTAATTCATTTACTGATGAGGTGCTGTTGGGACTTCCTGGCCTTCTCCTTAATGCCCTCCTTCCTGCTGCACCTGATCTTCAAAGAGATGGGGAGAATTTCCAAAAATATCCATTTTCCCATGATTCTCCGGGAAGACTGCTCAGCTCAGCAATCAAAGACAAGGAGGTCGCGTCCTCCCTGGCAACGACTCCCTGCCTGTCAGGCCTGTTTTCTTTCAGGGTCGCCTCCTGCCTCCCCACCAAAGCCTGCTCCCTCTGGATGACCCGGCCGGGCAGGGACTCCAGCTCCCGGCCGCACATGTGGGGTGTGCATGGGGGGCTCAGGCTAAGTGCATGGCTCTTGTTATCCTCACCAGTACCCCCTTTGATAGGGGCAGGCGACATGTTCTAAGTCTTATGTAAATACAGCGTCAAAACAATAACAACAACAATCACAGCTCACACCAGCTGCCCGTGAAGCTCCAAGCACTCTGCATGGGTCATCTACAATGCTCACTCAACATAGGTTAAGTTCATTCCCGTCTTTCAAGTAAGGAAGTTGTCCAAGGTCACAGGACTAGTGAGGCATGGCGCCAGATTTTGAACCCAGGCTCTTCTGGGTGGAGAGCCATGCTCTGAACACAGCTTTGCTCTGCCTTGATTAGGGCAGAGCACTCCCCCAAGTCCCTTTCTTTGCCGACACAGCAGAGACACCGGGTCCCTGGCTCAGTGGTCGGCCAACTCATGAGTCAACAGAGCCAAACATCAACAGTACAACGTTGAAATTTCTTTTGAGAGCCACATTGTTTAAACTTAAACTTCTTCTAACGCCACTTCTTCAAAATAGACTCGCCCAGGCCGTGGTATTTTGTGGAAGAGCCACACTCAAGGGGCCAAAGAGCTGCATGTGGTGAGGCTCACGGGAACCACAGTTTGCTGACCACGGCCCTGGTTTCTTGCCTTCCCCCCAGACCCCCCTGAAAACCCAGTCACTAAGCCCTCTGGTAGCTTATCCTTCATTTAGCAATTAGGAGAGAATGAGCAGCATCTTAACCACCTCTGCCCAAGGCTCAACTCTGCTAAGATGCAATCAACTGGCAGAGAAGCTGAGCAGAGCTTTAAAAATCCATTTAGCCGGTTACCCCACTGGCACGCTACAGAGGCGTGAGGGCCTCTCAGTAGAGGGGCTGGGAAGCGGGGTTAGTGAGGAGGCCTCACAGCATTGCAGCCCTGGAGGCCAGACCCTGTCTCCCTCTCTCTGTGATGCAGTAGCAACTCCCTCCACCGCCCACACCATCCTCTCCCTCTGGTCCTGATGCTGCCAGCGGAGAGGCAGCTCCCAGGCTGGCTGACCTGCCGGTCCAGCCCTCCCTGGTGCACATGAGCAGAGGGGCCCGAGAGGCCAGAGAGCCCCAGTTCCTCAAGCAGCACAGCAGCACGGAGCCGGCCCTGGGCCCCCACCTCTGCCTCCCACACACTGCTCTGCCTGGGACTGCTCTGCTCAGGGACTGGGACTCGGGCAGTTCTCCTGTCTCCTGTGACACGAGGGTCAGTGGGAACCATGGTACAGCCTGCAGCAGGACGGAGACTCCAGCGGAAATGGCTCAGGACTCAGTTCCCTTCCAGCCGGTTCTGCCTGGAGTGAGGAATTAAGTCAAGGAAATACCTTTAGAGCCACTGATGCTGGATGAGGAAGAGTGAGGCAGGACTACCTCTAGCAGCAAGGGAGAAAGACTTGAAGTTGGGATCTCTCTTGTCCCTTCCTTCCTGGGTATCAGAGTCCCGGGGACATGCCCAGGAGGGCCCTCTGTGCAGCTCTTGTCATCCCAGAGCCTGAAGCCAGGCCTCAGAGCACGGGGCTCCTCCCCATCCCTAGAAGGTGACAGGTTCTGGGCTGTAGTCCAGCTGATGGCTGCACAGGCCGCCCCCCCCCCACCTTGGGCCACTCCTGTCTTTTCTCCTCACTGCCCTGTGCCAGTCTGTGAGCTAGCTGTAGACGTCCTAATAATGAGAGACTTGTTACGTGAGGCCCACCCCTGTGAGGTCCCCAGCGCACCCCTGCTACCTGTCATTTTCTGTTCCAAGAGACCTCCACCAGGGATGTTCCCAACATCGGGAAATGCCCCATGGGGGCCTTCCCCTGAGCCTCACCCCATGGAGCATGTGAGGACCCCCCCCCACACACACACATAAGAACCACACCACAACAGTCACCATAGGACACCCTGTCGCTTCCTTGTGCCACGTGAGCTGCCACCACACACCCTTCCTCCGTATCATGCCCAGCCTCGGGAGTGAGATTGACTCATCAGATCTTACCATTCGTGTCTGCTGTCATGTGAGACCCCAAAATGAGGAAGTCCTCAGAAGGGCACCCACCACATAATCTGCCACGACATAAGGGCTTGCAAGGAAAGAGCCCAATGAGCTGGTCAAGACTGCCCAAGGACCAGTCTCCTGGGCATGATCATGCCAGCCCAAGCGGGCAGAGCCGTACCCCCAAGGTCAGGTGCTGGAGTTCACGCTGGGCCCCTTTTGGAACCAGGGGGCGGGAAGAGGCAGGAAGCTGGGGCAGTAGGGAAGCCCCTCTCCCCAGCTTCCCCAGCAGTCGGGCCCTGTGCTGGCCCAGGTGGATGGATAGATGGACAGGCGGATGGGCAGACAGATGCCTAGGCTGCTATTTGGGAGAGGAACCGCGGGTCACTCTGCCTCTCTCTCTCCTTTGTCCAGACAACGGTTACAGACAGTGCCTGGCCAACGGCAGCTGGGCCGCCCGCGTGAACTACTCAGAGTGCCAGGAGATCCTCAGCGAGGAGGTGAGGCTGCGGGGAGGCTGCCACGCCGCTACCAGGGCCCCCAGCCGAGGTCCTGCCTGCTGCCTGGCCGGTGGCCAGTCAGGGTGGGGGAGCCAGAGGCTGATGGCAAGGCGCTGGGCACTCAAGCTCGTGTATTAAGGAGGGAGTCTGTGCCACGTGGACAGGGAGCAGGCTGATGCGAGGAGTCCTCGTTCCTTCCTTCCCTCCTTCCACCTGCTCACTGGGACAGGTTTTCATCCGTTTTCCACCCTTCCCACCTGAGTGACATATCCAGGTGTAGCCAGGGGCTATATCAGAATCGGGGTGGGGTGGGGGTGGGGGGCAGGGCAGTTCAAAAAATCCTTTTAGAAAGCCTTTTAAATCGGCAAGTGTTTTTGAGAAGATGTTACACATAATACAGAATTCAGAGGTACAAATGGGCAGAGAATGTCTCCCTCTCAGCCCAGCCCCGGGGAATCTCTCCTAGAGACAACCATTTTGCCAGTTTATTTATTTTTTTATTATTATATTTTTATGGATTTCATAGAGGAAGGGAGAGGGAGATAGAAACACAATGATGAAAGAGAATCACTGATAGGCTGGGGATGGAGCCCGAAAACCAGGCATGTGCCCTGACCAGGAATCGAACCTGGGACCCTTCAGTCTGCAGGCCAATGCTCTATCCACTGAGCCAAACCAGCTAGGGCCCATTTTGCCAGTTTCTTCAATGTTCTCCCAGAGACATTCCCTGCATATTCGAGTAATTAGGTGCCTATATTCTTCTCTGTTTTTACCCAAACGTTGCATGTTATACACCCTGTTCGACATCTTGCTTTTTGCACGTAAGTATCCATCTTGGTGATTGTTCACACCAGTACCTGAAGAGCAACTTCGTTCTTTTCTACATTTGCATAATATCACATCGTGCAGATGGACCGTAATTTATTTACCCATTTTTTTATGCTCAGTCTCTGGTTGCTACCAACAGTGCTGCAATGAATAAACATTTAAGGCTGAGATTTGGCAGATACCTGGGTGTATCTATCTTCCTGGTGTTGCTGCCTGCCCCCCCTGTCCCAGCCCCTACATCTCCATCCACCCCTTCAGTGGGTGCTGAGGAAGTGGGGGCCATGGAGCTGGAAGCCTGGGGCAGAAGGGAGGATGCCCCAAGCTGTCTGAGGAATCTCAGGCTTCTGGGGTGGAGGAGAGAGGGGCTGGACCAGGCAGTCCTGGGAATTCCTGTGCCTGAAGGATCTAAATTGGATGGGACCCTGGAGACCCTCCATCCCGTTTTGATCTGCCTGGGAATAAGAGTCACCGGAGGAAGCACTTGTTCAAATACAAGCCAGCCCCCAGCCCTACCAGGGCCCTCCCCACGCTCAGGACTCCTCATTTCCTCTCGGAGCTGCTGCAATTAACCGAGCCCTAATTAAGCACCAGTGCCCAGAGGGACTGATTGCAGGTGATGGACTGGCAGGCCAGCCGCCTGTGAAATGGGAGTTGTGAGGGCGCCCAGAGGCCAGGCTGGGGAGAAGGCCAGCCCACAGCCCTTACCACCAGAACACAAGCCCCAGTGCCACACCACGCTGCCTTCCTCAGTCTCAGGTCTCCAAACGGGACAGGGACAGGGTGCTGGTCAGGCCCCAGGGATGGGCTGTGTCCACGTGTTACTTGAGCATCCCAGCGGCTTCTGAATGAAGTTATAACATTGGGGACTTGGTTCTATTCTGTGGGGAGTGGTGGCTTTCTCTCAGGGAGTCAGGCTGTCTCTCGGGTGTCATTACGGTCTCTCGGAGTGTCACATCCTGCGTATCTCAGGATGTGGCCGGCTGTTCTCTCTGGGTGTCCCTGACCACCTTCCAGGGTGTTGCTGACCATCTCTGGACATCTCTTGAGGTAACACTGCCATCTGCCCAACACCCTCTCGAGCTCTCTGCACTGTGAACCCCACCCCACCCCACCCCCAGATGGCTTGCTCCTCCTCAGATGGCATCAGGCTGATGTGGCAGCCGAGACGGGACTGAAACCCAGCCTGGGCCTCTAACCTTGAATGATTTGGTCCAATTCTCCCCTTGCAGCCTCAATGGAGAAAAACACTCATGAGTCCCCATCCTCCCCACAGAAGCCCAGACAGAGAGAGTGCCTCTGTTTTCCATCCGTGGGGACAGGGGAAGCTGGGTCTTTAAGACCAAGCAATACTGGAATGTGCTTGCTGGCTGGCTGGCTTGGGCCAATGATGCAGCCTCTTCAACTGGAAAACAGGGACAGAAGGACAGTCTTGGGGGGGGCAGTGATGAGAAAGAAAAGCAGTGACATCTGTCGAGTTCCTGGCTCCGTGTCCAGGATACAGTAGGTGCTTAATAAAGGATTCATCTCACCCAAACCACCCTGGCACCGCCTGCTGGGGGGGCAGGAGGGGGACGGGGTTGGAGGAGGAGCTGACAGCAGGTGGTGGTGGAGGGGCTCCCTGCACACTGTGCTCCTCACATTCCCATGGGCCGGGGCTTCCACACGTTGTTATCACACGCTGGGCTTCAGCGTGTGGAGAATTTAATGGAAGTAACGAAATGCCAGCCCCAGTCAAGCTGGATGTGCGCGGGGAGTCTCCAGGTTTAGCTTCTGCTGCTGGGTGCTCAGAGGCCCTCCCCATTTGCACGGCCCCTTCCCCTCTGTCTCTCTGGCCTGCCTCCATTTACACCTCCCTGGGTGTCAGTCCCTCCGAGCAGCACTGAGTTGCTAATGTGACTGCCTGCCAGGTTCCTGAAAGCCTCTGCCAGGAAAACCAGCCCTGAGAGCAGAGAACTCACATCCCACCCAGAGAAAACAAGCCCCGAGAGCAGAGCACCCACATCCCACCCTGGGAAAACCAGCCCTGAGAGCAGAGCACCCACATCCCACCCTGGGAAAACCAGCCCCGAGAGCAGAGCACCCACATCCCACCCTGGGAAAACCAGCCCCGAGAGCAGAGCGGCTGAGCACCTGGACCTGGGACCTCAGAGGTCCTGCAGTGAGGCTGCCCCTTCAGCAGGGGTGGGCAGGACTGGGGAGAAGGGAGAGGGGAGAGGGAGGGAGTGGCTCGGATGGCTGCTGGATGTCCCACTGCAGAGGCACATGCCTTAGGTGAGTGAGTGTGGGTCTCAGTTTTCTCACCTGGAACATGGATGGGGTTGGACTTGATCCCTCGGGACCATCGATCTATGAAATAAATGAAGTTACAACGTTGGGGACTTTGTTCTAGTCCTGGGACAGGATCCCCTTCACTTCGGGCAGGGGCTGGACCTAGAAAGGGAATTACAGAACCTTAGGGGGTTCTGTGGTTTCCACCGATTCTGTGGATGCGAATCCACAGCCACTCTCCCCGTCGCTGACAGAGGCCGGCTTCAGCGGCAGCAGGAGGGAGTGAGGGTGGCGGAGGCGGAGGCGGCTCCGCCCAGATGGGGGGGGGGGAGACGTCCAGGAGGGCTGGTGTCCGCACCCCCAGGGCCAGAGAGATTGACCTGAGTGGAAAAGTGAGCACGAACACCCCTGTGAGCCCTGCACACCCGTCTGTGCACGCAGAACGGGGTCCCTGTGTGATGTGGAGAGTCAGGTTAACAGACACTCGTTCAACAGCACGAGCAGTAGACAGAGCGTGGGATTCAGGGACAGACAGACAGACAGACAGGGAGACACAGTCCCAAAGGACACAGGGCTGCTCCAGGGCAACGTGAGGCCCTCGGGGCTTGGAAAGGGGGCTGTTGTTAGCATTGCCCGCTCTGTCCCGGCCACCACGGGGTCTGTGCCACCATTGGGTCTGGGCGCAGGGGTGGGGCCGTGCGGGAACCTCACCTCTGCCCCTCTCTCTGGCCTCAGAAGAAGAACAAGGTGCACTACCATCTTGCTATCATCATCAACTACCTGGGCCACTGCGTTTCCCTGGTGGCCCTCCTGGTGGCTTTTGTCCTCTTTCTGCGGCTCAGGTGAGGATCCCCAGCACCGTCCCTGGGCCTTGAGCAGAGGAGGGAGAAGACAGGCGCAGGGGGCTGCTGGGAAGGGGATCCTGCCCCTTGCCTCAGTGGGAGGGGGTGACAGCTGCTGAGTCCCAGGTCTCTGGAAACCTCTGGCAGGGTCACTTCTGCCCCCTTGCCCAGGAACTGCCAGGGGCAGGGAGGGGGCGGGGGGGCGGCCAAAGCAGAAGGTGACACCCCACTGGAGGCCTGTGTGTTTTCTGACCCTCAAACCTGGGACCACAGGGCGGGGAGGAGTGCCCGGGGGGAAGGCGCAGCCCCTGGTCCTGGAGCATTGGCTGTGGCAGATTCTCCCCCCAGAGCTCAGGTGTGGGTGGGTCACAGGTAGGAAGGGCCATGTGTGACTTAGCCCCTTTCTAAGACTCAGTTTTCCCATCCATACATCTGGGCTGGAGTGGTGCTTGCGGCCTATCCTTCATCCTCTCTCTCCTTCCCTTGCTCCCAACACCCACCTGCCCTGCCGCCCCTAGGAGCATCCGGTGCCTCAGAAACATCATCCACTGGAACCTCATCTCGGCCTTCATCCTGCGCAATGCCACGTGGTTCGTGGTCCAGCTCACCATGAGCCCCGAAGTCCACCAGAGCAACGTGGTATGTCCTGGAGGGGGGCAGGCCTGGGTGGAGGAGGGGTCCGGGTGGGGCTGTCCTGGGGGGGGCAGGGGCAGGGCCAGGCCTTGGGGCCCACAGGACAGGAGTGGATCCTGGGGAGTGCCCCATCCTGCTGAGGGGAGGCCCTAGGCCCAGGGTGGAATATGGATGCTTCCCCCACCTGTTCCCCCCACCCCACCCCACCCCGCTCACTGTCCTATCTGGTGGGGGCGGGTGGCAGGGCTGGTGCAGGTTGGTGACAGCCGCCTACAACTACTTCCACGTGACCAACTTCTTCTGGATGTTTGGGGAGGGCTGCTACCTGCACACGGCCATCGTGCTCACCTACTCCACCGACCGGCTGCGCAAGTGGATGTTCATCCTCATTGGCTGGGGTGAGCCGGTCCCCCCCACCCTCCATTCCCATCCCAGGCTCCCCTCTCCTCACCCAGACCCAGGTCAGTGGGCTGCAGGGCCAGGGTAGGGTGACAGAATGTACACCACAGCCCTCTGCCCTCGCTGGGGTGGGGGGAGCATTTAAAGGAGGTACCTTGGAAGAGTGGGTCCCAGCTCCACCCTGGGGACCCCTGCCTGCCTCCAGGCCCGTGGACTGGCTCTGAGACAGCGCTGTCTTCCCCAGGTCTGCCTTTCCCCATCATCGTGGCCTGGGCCATTGGGAAGCTGTACTACGACAATGAGAAGTAAGTCAGCTCCGTCCTCTCACCGCCCCAGGGCCCCTCAGCCCCAGCCCCAGCTCTGCCTGACGCTCCTCAGCAGTCATCTTCCCTGTCAGGGCCACAGTTTCTTCATCTAGAAAGACAGGGAGCATGGGGCTAGGCTCAGTCTGAGGCTCCCTAGGGTGCTCTGCCTGGGGGTGAGGGTGGGGGACTGGACAGGCGAATCCAGGCAATTCTGTCTTGGGCTCTCCCAGGCAGAACCACAGGAGGGTTACCGGCTGCCTGTGGAGCCAGACTAAACTGTTCAGGGTCTGAATCGTGGCCCCATCACTAAGTAACTGTATGACCTGAGTGCTATACTTTCTACAGCGTGCCTTAGCTTCCTCATCTGAAAAATGGGCCTCTTAATAATAGTGCCCCCCTCACAGGGTGTGGTGGGGATGACATGAGTTAGTGTATATTAAGCATTTAGGATTGTACTTGGCACATTGTATATGCCGTACAAATGTTTTCTATTAATTTTAAGACTTAATAGCAATTGATCCAGACAATCTCAGAGACCCCCTTACAGCTTTGAAGTCCTGAGTGCCTTACTGATACAGATGTTCCCAGCTGCCCCTGACAACGGGGCTTCCACGGCAGTGGTCCTCAGCCTTGGCTCCCATTAGTCACCCAGGAAGCGTTGAAAAGTACCAATGCCCAGGCTGGACCTCCAGGCTTGGATGTAACTGGTCCAGAGTGTGGTCGGCGCCACGATGTTTTTTTAGCTGCCCAGGTGATTCTACTCTGCACTCGAGAAAAGAGAACCCCTGAGATAGAGGCGGAAAAGGGGGACAAAGCCTAGGGATGTTCCAGGATCTTCTCCACCAAAGTGGTTCAGGAACTCACTGTCTGACTGGGGTTCCAGGCGGCCTTCATCAGTGACAATTCTCCCCACCACCACAGAGTAGGGCAGCCACCACAGCCTCACTGGGAGGGACAAGGAGCCTAGGAAATCATGTTCATTACTTACCAGGGTGATCCGGGGAGGGGGGGGGGGGGGCAAGAGGGAAACTGACACACCACTGTGGGCCAGAGTCCCTGAGCAGGAGCATCGTAAACTCTGGGCGATGGTCTGTGCCTGTAGGTGTGCAGGCATAGGTGTGAGCACAGGGGGAAAGATGAAGAACTTTCCCCCAAAGCTGCCCGGTAAGCATCCTAGAGGGAAAAGGATGCCTGAGCTGGGGAAGTTGGTCTGGATGACTCTGAAGCTCCACCTGGTGGCAAGATGCTGCCACTGCAGCAGAAGGGATCCAGACTCAAGGCCACTCTAGACAGCTCACGTTTGATCTGCACCATGTTTTTTGAATTTGTTGCCAATCTTTAAAAAGTCAAGGTTTTCCACCTAAAAATCTCAGTTCTGGTTTGTGGAAGCATCATGAGATCTAGCCACTGCGGGGCTGCCTCTAGGCAGGGAGGTGGGATTTTCTGGGTGCCCTGTCCCCCTCCCTCCCCTGACCTTCCTAGAGCTTGCTGGAAGGAGCTCAGGAAAATGCAAAGCAAGTCTGCCTCCTGGGGCGGGCGGGACCTATGGGAGCTCTGCCTCAAGGCTGTTCACACGGCAATGGAGCAGACTGGGAGACTGTTAGGGGCCTGCTACAGGACAGGGGCTTGTGCCGCAGACTGAAGGGAGCAGTGCTGTGTTGGGCCCATGCCTGCTCCTCTCAGACTTTTCCATGATCTCCCTGCCACACTGCCTGCTTCCAGCTTTACATCTAATGATAGGGGATGCCGACCATGCTGCAGATGGGATAACTGAGTGCTGTGGTGGGATCAAGTGGCTTGACCGTTTGCCAGGGTTGGAATTTGGGCACCCAGAGCCCGGTTTCCAGCCCCGGTCCTGCTCTGGCCAACCAGCACCGCTCCCCTATGCCACCGAGCTGGACCCGAATGGCCCCCTCCTCTCACCTCCTATGTGTGGCCTTCTAGGTGCTGGTTTGGCAAAAGGCCTGGGGTTTACACCGACTACATCTACCAGGGCCCCATGATCTTGGTCCTGCTGGTAAGAACCTGGGGGGGGGGGAGGGGGCAGTGGGAAAGGGCAATAAGAGCCGACTGTGAACCCCAAGGATCCCTCTGCCTAGAATATCCCAGTGCTAGTGAAGGTGGCGGGAGAGCAGCAGGGGGGACCAAGACCAGGCCTGAGACGGTTAAGTCCCTAACATCTTGCACACACACAAGCCTACACCATCCCACTGTGTGCTCACTTGCAGATCAATTTTATCTTCCTTTTCAACATCGTCCGCATCCTCATGACCAAACTTCGGGCGTCCACCACGTCTGAGACCATTCAGTACAGGTAGCTGGTCTTGTGTCCCCCAACCCTGGGGGCTCCAGAGATCCCAGTCCTTACCTAGGGTCTTCCCTCAGGCCTGGCAGTCCCTCCTGAAACCCCAGCCCCCCCCCCCCCATCTCAGACACTGGGGACTAACTCTCACCCAGCCCCCTCCGGAGTGGGCTGTGACTCTGGCTTCCCACCCCCCCCCACCCCCCCCCCAGGAAGGCTGTGAAGGCCACTCTGGTACTGCTCCCCCTCCTGGGCATCACCTACATGCTGTTCTTCGTGAACCCCGGGGAGGACGAGGTCTCCCGGGTCGTCTTCATCTACTTCAACTCCTTCCTGGAGTCCTTCCAGGTACTGACGCCTTCCCCTCTTGGCCCTGCCCCCCCACCTCCCCTCCGCCTCCAGGGGTGGGCATTTTCCCAGGCAGGGGCCTGGAGGGGCAGGACACTGAGGAGGGAAGGGGCTGCCCAGAAACTGAGCGGGGTCACCCAGCCCAGTCCCCTTGACCCTCCTTCTCCTCCGCCCCAGGGCTTCTTCGTGTCTGTGTTCTACTGTTTCCTCAACAGCGAGGTAAGGACCCCGCCTGGGGCTCAGGATGGCAGGAAGCCTGTTGGGAGGAGAGATGCCTGCAGCCTCCCTCTGCCCCCCACAGGCCGGCCCTCCCCCCCCCACCCCCGCCCCCGCCCCCTTTAGGGATGTCCTGCAGGGTCCGTGTCATCTGCCCACGCTGCTCCTGCCCTGGCAGACCCACTCCTTTGCTCACTTAGGCAGCTGACATTGAGAAGGGGGAAGAGCTGGGGCTCAGCCTTGTCAGTGGTCTGTGACATGGGTTGTTGAGAGCCAGGAAGCTGAGCCCTAGGACAGAGGATGCGTGTGGATTGAGGGTTGGGGTTATTCATGGCAAAGACACTGTGTGGATTAGAAAAAGGCACCCCTTCCTCAGGACACAGAGAAAACTGTCCCAACAAACATGCAAACCAAAAATGTTCCTTTCCTATGTGGCCCCCTGTGCACCTCACACCTGTGCGCGCTCGCCTGCATAGCTATTTGCCTTACAGCTGCTTGTGGCAGCCCTCGGGGAGGGAGGGAAGGTGGACTCTCCTGTGACTGGGCTCGAACGTCATGGTCTGCTCTGTGCCCACAGGTCCGCTCTGCTGTCCGGAAGAGATGGCACCGATGGCAGGACAAGCACTCGATCCGCGCCCGGGTGGCCCGCGCCATGTCCATCCCCACCTCCCCAACCCGGGTCAGCTTCCACAGCATCAAGCAGTCCACAGGGGTCTGAGCTGGAGGGCCGTGTCTGCAGGTGGCTGACTCCTTCCTCACCCCATCCTGGCACTGAGACCTGGGAGGCCCGTCCCTGACCCCCAGCTGAGCAGGAGTTCTGGCCTCGGAGAGCAGCCTCACTCTGGGCCACGGGACAATAAGCTATAGGACTGGGCTGGGCCCAGGGCCCCAGGCTCCCTTCTGCCCCCAGTCCTCCCTGGCGAATGGAGTGAGAATGGGGAGCCAGGCAACCCAAAGCAGCACATGGTCCCTCCAAGAGGCGTCCTCCCGGAGCACAAGGTGGCCAATGCACTGCCCCAGGGGCACCATGGGAAACTCTCGGAACAGCATCCCAACCACGGAGATAATGCCTCCGGGCCTTCGCAAGGCCTTCCAACAATGCTGGGAACCAGGGCTTGCCGTCAGAGCCCTGGAGACGTTAGAAATCAGTGGCATCATCAGTCATCAGGCTTCGTGACCGGAAATCCTCCCACGCCACCAGAACGTCATCCGGCCCCGTGGCGCTGCCACCAGAAATGCCCTTCCTCGCTGCACTGCACCCTCGGACTTTTACTGCCCTGCCAGCCACACACGCTCCCTCTCCCCACCCTCCTGCCCCAGGGGTCTCCCCTTTGTGAGAAGATGGGGGCTGGAAGGGAGTGGCCTGGGAGCTAGAGCCCGGGTGTGCCCCAGCCAAAGCCGGTCTCCCTGTGAAGGGGCAGAGAATGCAGAGGACCGTCCAGCCTGCTGACGGAAGTGACCTGGCCTCTGGGCAACCCCTCTGGCTGGTCACAGAGAGCTTGTTGCCCCTGGACGGCCTCTGGGGCAGCCCTGTTAGCTACCCGAAGATAGGAGAAAGGGCAGGGCCCTCAGGCCCCAGCACCTGGAGCAGCACAAGTGGCCCTTGGGTCAGCTGATCACATACATCCGACCCCAGGCACAGACTGGCCCAGCCCTCACTGGACCCACCCTCACTGGGCAGCCAGGGCTTTGGGGGTGCAGGGCTGGGAGATGGGGGTGGCTGATGTAAATAATAATATTTATCATCTTTTCAACCAGCATCTGTGACGTTCTGCACTGTGCCAGAGCTGGGTGGAAAGGGTCTGCCAAGAAATGGAGGCCACTTTGAGGGTTCGAGGCCTCTGTGTGTCTGGGAAACACACACCCATCACGGATGGGGTGTAGGTGAGCCCTGAGGGCTGGCTGAGAATTAGGTGGGTCCTGCTGGCCCGGGTGATAAGGACAGCTTTTGTAAGGGGGTGCGTTGTAGGGAGAGAGGGGCTGTGGGTGAAAGATGCAGGTACAGGACCTCGTGGGTAGGGGCACAGCTTGGGCAAAGGAGTTTCCAGTGTCCCAGCCCCTGGAAACAGGGAGCATGGGGGTGGGGGACCAGCAAAGGAAGGTGGCGGAAAGGGTGGGTGCGCACAGGCCACCGCCCCTCTGGGCAGCTGGGACTTAATCCTGCTGGACACTCGGGAGGCTGAGTGGGACACACGCCTCCATCATCCAACCGAGGATCGAGGGATGTTCATCCACCAGCTCCCTCAGTCTCGGGGCGAAGGCTGCTCCCGGGGTCATTAATCCCCCTGCACTTCCCACGGCCACTTGGGCCACGAGGAGGCCCAGAGAGAGCGTCCAGTCACAGCAGCGTGGGGTGGAAGCCGGGGTGAGCTGTGTCCTGGTGGGGAGGCGGGGACAATGAAACTCCCTGTACACACACAGGGCCAGGCCAGCCTGGGCCTTGCCGCGGGGTCTCTGGCCACACGTACACACAAGGCGCGTCATGCCGGGCACCAGCACGGGCTAAGGTGACGGGTGCCTAGAGCCCTAAAGCTCCCTGCCGGGGAGGGAGGTGCAGTGGGTGGGGGTCTGGTCCAGGGAGGAGCTGCGGGTGTCCCTGAAGCTCACGTGGGCACCCTACTCTGCCAACTCCAACTCTGTCCCCTTAAGTAGAGAGACGGGGAACTAGAGGACACAGACCAACAGCTTCCAGAGTAACTGAGGGAGAAGCCCCGGAAAGAGCCTGGCTGGCAGGAGGGATCTGAAGTGGCAGAGGGGTCTCGAATGGCCACACGCAGGCATCTTCCTCAACTCTGCGTTTCACTCCGTGGAGGAGGAGGAGAGAGAAAGGGAGGCTTTCCTGGGAAACGTAGGGATGTGGGGGCGGGGCCTCCCAAGGATGGGCTGGGGACTCTGAGGGGGTTGCATATATAAGGTTCCTTGAGGAGGCGAAAGGGGCGGTGCCCCCTCTCCTGCTTGTGCCTCCTGGTGGCTTTAGTTGTGGGCTCCCTCTGAGCACGTCCTGTGCACTCCGCCCTAGGCCTGGTGTGAGGGTCAGATGAGCAGCCCCCCAATGCCCACAACAACTGCTCAGCTCCGAGTTCAGCGTGGAAAGGCCGTGGGAGGCCACCTCCAAGGCTGCCGTCATTGGAGGAGCTACAGGTGTCCCTGGGCAGGCAGGGGCCGGTCCAGAGGAGCCTCGGGGCCCCTCCCATCCAGAGACTATAAGGGCAGAGGGGCTGCTTCAAGCACAGCTGGGAACATCTGGGCCCCAGAGAACTGCAGCTCCTATGCCAGGGCAGGTGCCTGGAGTGTAACCCTCCACGGCCCCTTTTGTGTTCTGGGCTCTGGGACCAGGGTGAAGGCCCCAAACAGGGTTTCTGAAGGTCATTCTGCCCTGAGGTTTGGCCTGTGGGTAGAGAGGGAAGAGAGGCCCCTTTGGGAGTGAGTGTGGTTCTATGGGCCAACAGACACACAGGACACTCCACTTCAGGGAGGGGCTGGGCAGCTTCCGGATGGGGTCACTGTGGTACAGGCCCCTCTCTCAAGCCAAAGGCTACAGTCCCCTAAAATTGCCCTCCCTGAGTCCATTTCTCCTGGGGACTCTCCTTCCTAGACACAGTGGAGGGAAAACCACAGTGGGGTTTTGATGTAGAGACATAGGGAGGGCACAGGGAGGGGACCGTCTCCTGGAATGTGACAATAAACTCCTGCTGAGGGGCAGTGGTGGGGGAGGGGACTGACCAGTCTCCTCAGTCCCCTACTGCTGCTGGGTCAGACCCCTAGGTCCAGGCCTGGGGAAGGAGTCAGATCTGGGAAATACACTTATTAGGAAGGGAAGGAGGTTTTGGAATCCAGATAATAATTCTTTCACTGTGGGCATTTGTAGACCTCTTTGCATTCCACAGAATCCTTTATAACATTTATCTAACCCTCAACTAGCTAATGAAGGTAGGAACTAGCCCATTTTACAGCTGAGGAAACTGAGGCCTGGAGACTCACCTGAAATCAACAGTCCTTTGGCTCCAAGTCCAGGGCTCTTTTCACCCCCTCTGTTGACTAAAGTCAGTAGGCTTGAATTTGGGGAGACCAGGACTGATAAAGCAGCTGGGAGGAGGGGGAAGCAAGCAGGCCTCAGTGTTCCAGACTGTCTGATTGAGGATGTGTCCCAGGGGAAGACGGGACCAGCCCGGAGGTGGCCCAACCAGTTCCAGCCGCTGAGTCCAGCTGGGTGGGAGCTATGAGAGTTGTGTATGTCCCCCAGGTTCCCAGCCTTCCTTCCCTTTCTCCCCAACACCCTCCACCCCTTCACTTCCTAACCATAAACAGTGCAGCCCAGGCCCCTAAAAGCCTCTGGGCATCTCTCTGCATCCACCCAGACTCTGCCCAGTCCTGCAAGGGTGCCACTGGCCTCAGCATCATCTCATCCAGCCCTGACTTCAAACCCAACAGCCCAACCTCGGTCCAAATAAAGGGGGTGCTTTCTGCACGTCACCCACAATGACACTGTCGTTCGCCGAGTGCTTACTGGGCACCAAGCGCCGCTGAGCCCCTCACTTGTTGACCTCATCTGCTCTTCATACCACCCCGTGAGGCAGGTGCTATTACCCCACTTCACAGAGGGGGAAAGCAAGGCCCAGAGAGGTTAATGCGCTGCCCAAGGGCACTCAGCAGTGGCACAGCTGGATGTGAACCCAGCTGGCCTCCCTTAGCCTGCACTGTGTTTAACCCCGATGCAGCAGGAGTTCTTTGTAGGGCACCCCTCCCTGCCCTGCTGCCCCCTCCAATGCCCTCCCTCGGGAAATTCTTTTGTTTTCCCCATTTGTGGGCAAACAGATATGAAGCTAGATGTAGGAGTCAGTATCTGCAAAGCATGAGCCTCGGGCAGATCCTTCTCTGAGCCCAGCCCAGCCTCAAGACCGACCACAGGCTGCCTGCTGTCCAGTGTCCCCAGCCCTGCTCCATCTCTAAGCATAGCCTCCTAGTCCCTACCCTCTGCATCCCACCAAGCCCTGCAGCATGGGGGCAAGAGACGCCTGGGCCGTGCATGTCTTTCAGAGCTCTCAGTACGTTGGAAACGCCACCGAGATCACCATTTGGAGATCAGGCTAGAGACCACCGGAACTACAACAAGCCTGTCTTGAGCCCAGTGCCCCCAGAAGGGACTGCAGCTGGCCTCACTTCCTTCTTTTTTAATTGTGGCAAAAACACACCTAAGACAGAACGTGCCATCTCAACTGTGCCAAAATGCACAGTTCCGTGCCACTAGTGCACTCACAATGTGCAACCATCATCACCACCTGCTTCCAGAACCTGTCCGTATCCTAATGGAAACACTATACCTTCAGCACTCACTCCCACTCCTCACTCCCCCAGCCTCTGGCCACCACCAACCTGTTTTCTGTCCCCACAGACTTGCCCGTTTTCCACATTTCATAGAAGTGGAATCATACAACACTTGTCCTTTCGTGACTGGCTTCTTTCACTTAGCACAGTGCTGCCAGGGTCCACCCACATTGTGGGAGCCTGAACCAGACCTTCATCCTTTGAACGCCTGCTTTCCATGCTCTTGGGTATATGCCCAGGAGTGCAACTCCTGGGTCAAATGTAACTGTTTAGCTTCCCGAGGAACCACCAAACTTCTCCGCTAGTGCTGCCCCATTTTTCATTCCCAACAGCAATGTGTGAGGATCCCAATTCCTCCACGTTTCTGTCAAAACTGGTTATGATCCAGCCACCCCCATGGGTAAGTTGGTCCCTGGTTTTTCAAGATTTGAGACTCCCTGAATGGACAGTGAGGGACCCAGTGAGGGAACAGACTGAGCATCAGTAATGGGGGTGGGAGGGTTGTGGATGGAAACAGGAAGTTTGATTATCACAGAGCTCAGTAAGGGGCTGGCTAGCCCTGCTGCGCCTAGCACCTGAGTGCTCTCACTGCCCCAACCAAAGCACCAGTCCTCCCTTTGCAAGGGGAGCCCAGCAGAGGGGCAGCCGGCACCTCCTCCCTCGTTCCCAGCTCCATCCAGGCTACACTCACAGTCGGTTGTTTCTGTTCCCTAATGCGTTTCTGACAGTTAACTTGTCATTATAATTACTGGTTTGTAATCTAATTAAACATTATATTAATGGATTAGTCAGAAGTACACAAACGACAAGTGATACTGTTCCTTTTGAAAACTCAGCTGAATGTTTTGAAAGACATGATCTGCGTCGGATAAAAAAAAAAATAGCTGTCAAGTGAGGTGTGGGTGAGACAGATGTAAATAACTGGGTGGGAAGAGGTTGTCAGAGTCTATGTGGTTCCACCTTTCCACCACTTTGCAAGGTCCTTTAAACTCCCTCTCCCCCTCAGAGTCCAAGGCTGGACGGTGGAGATGGCGTCTTCTCGGTGTCACAAGAAAGGTGACTCGGAACTAACCGGGTGGACACAAAACTGAAGGAGAGGCCTTGAGGAAGGTCAGGGACCGTATGCCGACTCCTTGGAAGTTAAAATGAAATGTGTCTTATGGATTGAATTGTGTTCCAAAAAATGACATGTTGGAGTCCTAACCCCAGTGTCTATCATATAAATGTGACCTTATTTAGAAAGAGGGTCTTTGCAGATGTAATCAAGTTATGATAAATTCATTGCCTGGGTCCTAATCCAATATGACTGATGTCCTTATAAGAAGACAAGAGGCACAGACACCCCCAGGGAGAAGGCCGTGAGCAACACAGGTAGAGACCGGGGTGGTGTAGCTACAAGCCAACCCCAAAGGAACACCAAGGATTGCCAGCCACCCCCAAAATCAGGAGGAGGGAGGAAGGATTCTACCCATGGTCCCCAAGGGAGCATGGCCCTGCTGACACCTCGATTTTGGACTTCTGTTAGTGTGCTCAGGCTGCTGTACCTAATACCATAGACAGAGGGGCTTAACCAACAAGCACTTATTTCTCGCAGTTCTGGAAGTCCAAGATCAAGGTGCCAACGGATTCCGTTCCTGGAGAGACGGCCACCTTCCTGCTCTGTCCTCCCAGGATGGAGAATGAGAGCATCTCTCTCCTGTCTGTTCTTATACGGGCATCAATCGCATTCGTGACACAATTACCTCCCAAAGACCTCACCTCCGAGCCCATCGTACTGGGAATTAGAGGTTAAACACAGGAATTGTGATGGGAGTGGAAGCGGGTGGGGGGAGCACACACACAAACACTTAGCCCATCGCAGACTTCTAGCCTCCAGGCTGTGGGAGAATTCACTCCTGTGTTAAGCCACCCGGTTTGTGATTATTTGTTAAGGCAACACAATGTGAAAAGACTGTAGGTAACTTTGTAAAGATTCCCTTCGTGAGTCTACTTTTTCTGTAACCCCATCTCCCACCGGGTCCCACTCATGTGGGATGAGCAGCCGACCACAAGGTCTGAGCACACCGCACAGCACAGCGGGTTGGCCGGAGGCGCGGGGCCCCACAGCCTGGATTGGTATCTCGTCTCTAGCACGGATGAGGCGCTTCGGAAAGGTCTCCTCACTGCCCGCGCCTCCGTCCCTTCTGCTGTGAAACAGGGTCGCTCACTCGCGCATACCATGCGTATTTCCCTGGCATCACTGTCTATACCAGAATCCAGAAGCAGCGGCTGAGAACAGACAAGGTTCCTGTCCTCACAGATTTCAACCAGCAGGAGATGGAAAAATAAACAAGGAAATCAATAAACAAAGCACAGGACTGTGATACGTGCTTCGAAGACTACGGTGCATCCCGAGTTGTGATCGTGACCTGCTAAGAGGCGGGGCTATTTTCTCCTGGCGTTGGTGGTGGGAGATGTCGCTGGGGTTCGGGCCTGAAGGACACACACACAAGCAGCAGGTGAGGCTTTGGGGCAGAGAGCTTCTGGCCCCGCAGCACTCAGGGAGCCTCGGGGTCACCCACCACCCACAACACAGGGGTGTTCAGGTGAGTGTTGAGCTAACGTAGCAGAGACCACCATAAGGCAACGGCTTCAGGAAGAGAATGGGTCACCGTCCACAGTGAGCACCCCATGCCACTGCTCCGTGCGGACATCCTTCCACCCCGTCCCTTAGGACAATGTCCTCTTCTCCACAGTCAGTGACCCACACGTGTCCGTGACTGCTCTGTGAGAGGGGGAGAGAGATGGACAAGGAGCCCACAGAGACCCTCTGAAGGGCTCACATTATTTCTGCTCAATTCCATTGGCAAGAAACGGTCACGTGGCCGTTCCTAAGACCAAGGGAGGCTGGCACAAAAAAAAAAAAAAAAAAAAAAAAAAAAAATCCTGGTCACTTACCAGTAGAAAGGGGCATGGGCTTGAAGGCCAGCTCACAGCCTCTAGCACTATCTCCTTGCCGGCACACAATGAGGACAGATCAAGTATCTGGCACTTTGTGGGAGTTTGACAAACGTTCACAATATCGTGGAGGTCAGGGCCTCAGAAACTCTGCCCCAACGTCCTCATCCCTTTGCAGCTAAGGAAACAGGGGCAGGGGAGAGGCACCTGCCGGGGTCACCCAGCGGGTAAGGGGCTAATGTTGGTTCCGAGTCCTGTCTGGGATCCTCAACCCCATCCTCCCACATGTGATTTCACATTACCTGGCTCAGCCCAACCTGGGATTGGGCAGAAACCAGGGACCCAAATGACCCCTCTACCCACAGGTGGTGTTGGGGGGACAGGACCTGAGGGACCCTGTTTTCTGCCACGGTGTCCTAGGTCCCAGGGGCACAGCTTTATGACTGGGTAGGTGTGGCCCTGGTTTCTGGGATGGGAGGCCCCCACTGCTCTGTGACAGAGGGCCACACCCACCCCCTGGGAGAGGGAGCTGGGCTGGGAGCAGCGGCTGTCAGATTGGGCTGGCTGAGGAGGATGGCGTGCCTGGGTTACCTTCTCCTCCTCCTCCTCCTTCTCGCCAGCACAGTGGCCCAGGGCAAGTATGGCGTGGTCCACGTGGTGTCACAGAACTGGAGCAAGGACTACTGTGTGCTGTTCAACTCGGACTATGTCACCCTGCCCCGGGACCTGCGCCACGCCCCGCTCCTGCCCCTGTATGACGGCACCTCGGCATCCTGGTGCCCTGGCGAGGACTCCTCCCACCAAGCCCGGCCCAGCTCCCCCAGCCAGCGGCCCCTCCGCCGGACCACCGCCATGGTCATGAGGGGCAACTGCAGCTTCTACGCGAAGGGCTGGCTGGCTCAGGGCCGAGGCGCCCATGGGCTGCTCATCGTGAGCCGGGCCAGCGGACAACAGTGCGCAGACACCACCCTGGCGTCCCGGGACCCCCACGAGCCCCTGCCGGACCTCACCATCCCGGTGGCCTTGCTCCGATACTCTGACATGCTGGACATCCTCGGCCACACCCACGGGGACGCCGAGGCCCGCGTGGCCTTGTACGCGCCTCCGGAGCCCATCCTCGACTACAACGTAGTGGTCATCTTCATCCTGGCCTTGGGCACCGTGGCCATGGGCGGCTACTGGGCCGGCCTGACCGAGGCCGATCGGCTGCAGCGGCGCCGGGCCCGAGGAGGAGGGGGGCCCGGGGGTCACAATCGGCAGGAAGCGGCGGCAGCCCAGGGGGGGCAAGAGGAAGACGACGACGATGAGGACACGCCTATGGACTTCACACCGGCCATGACGGGAGCGGTGGTCGCCACGTCCTGCTCCATCATGCTGCTCCTCTACTTCTTCTACGACTCCTTCGTCTACGTCATGATTGCCATCTTCGGCCTGGGCGCGGGCACCGGCCTCTACGGCTGCATGGCCCCGCTGCTGCGCTACCTGCCCCTGCAGCAGTACCAGTGGCCCCTGCCTGGCCGCCGGGCCTGCCTGCGGCTGCCCCTGCTGCTGCTGGCCGGCCTGTGCGCGGTGGTGACCGGCCTCTGGGTGGCCTACCGCAACGAGGACCGCTGGGCTTGGCTCCTGCAGGACGCGCTGGGCATAGCCTACTGCCTTTTCGTCCTGCAGCGCGTGCGGCTGCCCAAACTCAAGAACTGTACCTTCTTCCTGCTGGCCCTGCTGGCCTTCGACGTCTTCTTTGTCTTCATCACGCCCCTCTTCACCAGGACCGGCGAGAGCATCATGGTGGAGGTGGCCTCGGGCCCGACAGATTCCTTGAGCCACGAGAGGCTGCCCATGGTGCTCAAAGTGCCCCAGCTGAGCTTCTCGGCCTTGACCCTGTGTGACCAGCACTTTACTATCCTCGGCTTCGGTGACATCGTGGTCCCAGGCTTCTTGGTTGCCTATTGTCATCGCTTTGATGTGCAAATGCACTCACGCCAGGTCTACTTCGTGGCCTGCACCGTGGCCTACGCCGTGGGCCTGCTGGTCACGTTTGCTGCCATGGTCCTCACGCAGATGGGCCAGCCTGCCCTGCTCTACCTGGTGTCCAGCACCCTGCTCACCAGCCTGGCCGTGGCCACCTGCCGCCAAGAATTCATCCTCTTCTGGACTGGCCAGGGCAGAGCCAAGACACCTGCCCAGCCCACAGCAGGGCTCTGTGGCATTCATCCAGAGGGCTCCAAGCAGCAGCAGGAGGACACGGCAAATGTCCACACAGTCAGGGAGTCTGAGGGAGCCACCAACCTTTTGGCAGGGGACTTAGATAGCAGCTTCAGGGAGGGCACAGCCAGGATCGTCACCACATCTGAGGACGAAGCCATCAGTCTGGTTGGCAACAGTGACAGCTCCGAGGGCTGGAGTGATGCCAACCTGGACTCTGATGAGCTGCCTCTTGCCTCCCCCGGGGCCTCAGAGGACCTGATGCCGCTGATGCCACTGATGCCATCATCCTCGGAGCTGGACCACGCACACACCCATGCCCAGGCCCAGGCACAGGCCCAGGCACAGGCACAGGCACAGGCACAGGCCCAGGCCCAGGCCCAGGCCCAGGCCCAGGTTCCGGCCACTGACCTGCCCTGGAGGAAGCTGCACAAAAGGAGGGGTTTTAAGGTAAAGAAGAGCATGTCAACTCAGGCTCCCTTGTGAACCAGGCCCTGGTGCATATGCCTCCAAAAGGGTTGGTAGAATATCGCAAAGCAAAGACACACATGGCAAAAAGAAATCAGGGCATTAAAGATATTCCAGATCTATCTAGCAGAGCCTCCTTGTTTGTCAGGATGATGAGAAAGCAGCCATGGAATAAGTCCACACAGGGCCCAGAGGGTCCTTAGAATAGGCACCACCCCACATCATGCAGAGGGGGAAACTGAGGCTCAGAGAAGGCACACGACTTACACAAAGTTACTCAGCTAGGCCAAGATATTCTCCTAGAGCTTTCCAGGCAGTGATTTCTTCTATCCCTGCCTCCCCAACACCCACCCCACGTCAGAGCCACAGCTCCTTAGCCTGGCAGGCCCCATCCTGCCCCTGCAGCCCAGCCCAGATTCATTGCCCATCTCTTCTTCATGCTCAAGGCCAACTGAACCATTACTATTACTTGATCACACCATGTCTTCTCCATCTCTTTTTGCACATGCTGTTCCCTTTGGCTAGGATGCCTTCCCATTCCAGACAAATTCCCCAAACCATCTCCCTGGCTCACTAAAACACTCCTCAGTGTCCTGCAAGCATCAGTTCACATCCATCCTTTCTGGTAAACGCCCTGCTCAGTGCATCCTGGACAGCAGTAGCACGCCCAGGTGTGTCTGCACATACACTGAGTGTGCACCTGCTGCATGCATTACCTGCCGCACATACACTAAGTGGGCACCTGCTGCATGCACATACACTGAGTGGGCACCCAGGGAGGCTACTGTTGGGGGGTGGATAGGAAGTGGAAAACAGACAAGAAACAACCTGAGAATTATCTTGAAGTGGAAGATAAAAGGGGTGGAGCTGGAGTGGAAGAACTGAGACCATAGCTCTATTTCCCATGCTTCCTTCATTGACTCTGGAGAGTAGACAAGTCTCTTAACCCTCTGGGTCTCAATTGTCTCATCTTCAAAATGGGACTTACCTTGCCATGTCCACCTGAAGACAGGGGCGTGGACAAGGTGATCTCTTGGGGGACACACGTACACACTCACACTGGAGCATTTATTTACCAAACACACCGGCATGTTTTTAGGCAATATGGTGTTTATATGTTGCTTCAGCAGAGTGCACAAACTCTGGGTTGAGGGAAGGCTTCCTAGAGTAGGTTACTGCAGGTGAGAGAATCATAGCCTGTGGGCAGAGTGTGGTACAGTGGTTAGGGTTCCAGAGCCATTTGCCCACAGAAGTTCCTGCTCTACTACTGACCCATACTATGTCATTGAGCAAGTGGCTTAACTTCTCTGTGCCTCAGTTTCCACATCTGTAAAATGGGATAATAACTGGATCCACCATAGGGTTTTGGTGAGGTTTGAATGTGTTGGTTTATGTAAGGTGATTGACACCATGCCTGCATGTAGGATGAGCTCTATGAATGTTAGCTCTATTTATATTGTATGAAAGCCTTTCAGAATCAAATCCTACAAGGCCTTTGAGTTCTGGCCCTGACTTCCTCCCCACTACCCTCCACACACGGTGTTCCTGTCCCTACCATCACCAGGGAGTGGACAGCAGATCCCACCGCATCTGTCTCCCCCCACAGGGCCCTCCCACAAGCTGGCTCCTCTCCCTGGAGCTTTGCCCTCCTTCCTCCTTCTCCTCCTCCAGAATTGGGCTTGACCAGTCCTTTTCCTCCCGTCCAAGCTCAAATGCCCCCACCTGCGGAAGACCTTCCATGATAATCCTTTCTAATCTAACCCTCCCAGCCTCAATCATGTCACTGTACACCTGTCTGCCGGTTTTTTCATCTCCCCCAGTGGATTGTCAGCTTCATGAGGGCAGAAACCACTCCGTCTCATTCAGATGAGTAATTCCAGGGCCTAGAACAAGGCCTGGCATGTAGTAGACGCTCAATTTATATTTGTTGGAGGAAGGAAGGAAGGAAGGAAGGAAGGAAGGAAGGAAGGAAGGAAGGAAGGAAAAAAGGAAGGAAAGAAGGACCCATCTTGAACCATAGGGGAAGAGGACACTGCAAGGTAAGATGCCCAGGCCACCTCCCTGAGTTCCTACAGGGCCTAGTGAGTTTGGAGATGAAACTCTAAGGGGACTGGATGGGGACTGGGGGTGGGAAGTTATGGAGCTGGAGAGGGTTCAGCTAATGAGCATCTTTTAAAAAGCCCTACTTGCCCTAACTGGTTTGGCTCAGTGGAGAGAGCATCGACCTGAGGACTGAAAGGTCCCAGGTTCAATTCCAGTCAAGGGCATGTACCTTGGTTGCAGGCACATCCCCAGTAGGAGGTGTGCAGGAGGTGGCTGGTTGATGTTTCTCTCTCATTCATGTAAATACCTCTCTATCCCTCACCCTTCCTCTCTGTAAAAAAAATCAATGACATTTTTTAAGCCCTACTTCCTGGTTCCCTTGGTACCTGAAGGCCTGGCTGGACAAGGGCAGTGTGAGGCACCAAGGCCAGGACCCTGACAAAGGTGATGACAGTCCCTCCTACTGGAGCCAGAGGCCATCTGGCCTAGACAGAGGGACCTCCGCAGGCCCTGGCTCGTCCCCAGGCCAGGCAGCCTCCCCACTGCTGATTTGCGTCACTGGCCTGCCAGGGATGGGCTATATCCCTCTCCCTCCTCACTCCCCCCCTCCACCTCCTGCCAGGCCCAAGAAGGCAGGCTGGACAGAGCCAAGCTTCTCTGTACCCTCTTACTCCCAGACTAGGGGACAAGAGAGCTCCTCTTTCCCAGAAACTTGCACCAAGGAGAGGATTCTCTGGGGGAAGCTCCAGCCCCGTCCATCTCTGCACACCACAGACTAAGAAAAGGGCGAGTACAAATTCCTTTACCCAACAGAGGCAAACACTCAGAGAACATTTCTTCTACAAAATGGGGAGAGTAACCTCAGGGGCTGAGTCTGGGCTCCCGAATGTGCATAGTTCCGCTGCTGTTGCTGCTCTGTGATGACCCAGGGTCCCCTGCCCCAGAGTCATGCTCCCTTGAACTTCAGGCTCAGCCTCACTTTGCCAGTCCCCTTCCCAGGACTGGACCAAACCCAGTTGGTGTCCAGTCAGAGGTGCCCAGACTGGCAGCCCCCACCTGAATGCCAGAGGAACACGAGGTACTGCACATGAGTATGTATACCCACATACATACATGTAGACACGTGCCTATGTCTGTACTGTATTCTCAGGCATACATACACATATACACATATGCCCCTTCACATCCTACACACACGTATGTACACATATGCACCCGAGCATATAGATACTGAATACTCCCATATATCTGTGGACACTCTACTACACACACACACACACACACACACACACACACACATCTGGGCTCGGACATATTCTGCTATTCTCTTCAGATCCTGCCTTCCCCTCCAGGCTATCCTGAGCCTGTGGGAGTGGGGGTCTGATGCCTGAACTTCCTACCCCAGAGGGCAGGGTGGCCCTTTCCTGGAGAGGCAGACACTGAGACACAACATTCAGACCCCCTTTGAGGAGGATGGCTGGCCAGCAGCCTCCTGCAGGGACTGTCTCAGCTTTCCAGCCCAAGTTGCTCTTTGGGGAGATGGGGACATGGAGAGCCAGCTAATGATGAAGCAAGACAGCAGCACCCTGGCATCAGCCCACAACTCCTCCTCTCACAGGCTGGCATTGCGGAATGATGCCAGGTTGCTGGGCTTGCAGAGATGGTGGCAGGCCTGCATCCCAGTCTGATGCGCCCCCCCCCCCCCCCGCACTCACTGCTTCCTCCTTCTCTCCTTCTGCATTCTGAATGCATCTCAGTATCTGCTCCCCGAAGAGCCAAACCTGTGACAGGTGAAACATAAGATGGGGCCAGGGAAGGAATAGCCTCCCAAGGCCATCCTGGGGGTCCCAGTGGCCCAGTCCCAGCTCTGAGTCTGCTCAGGCTGCCCAGTAATTATCTCTGTGGCTTTAATTTTAGCAAGAACCCCATGAACAGAATAGGCACAGTCTTGGTTTTTCAGTTAGTGAAGCATTTGGTAGTCTGGACTCCCTGGATCGTGAGACCAGCAAGGACTCACGAGCTGTTCTAATCCACAAATGAGGAAAGGAAATCCCAAGGATGCCCGACTTCACACAGCAATGAAACAGCAGAAACAGAACAACTCTGTGCTTCTGCCTCCCAACCCAGAAGCTGGGTCAGCTCCTATCAATACCCCCCTTCCCTCCACACACCTTGGTCTGCAAGACGTGTCTCCCCGGGAAAACTCTGCATCTACCCACTTTGCCCGTGCCCCTCAGTAGGGACAGCCCTCCATTCTCACCGAGCAGTTGTGTGTGTTGTTTGATAAGGAAGGTTGGTGATTCGACATCAAGCATCTCCTCAGCTAGGCAAGGGGACACGGCTGGACTCTGAGCCACTGAGACCTGGGTGCAATGCCCTGTGTTGCTACTCACTTGACACTTTACAACTGAGATCACCCTAATATGCCTCAATATCCTTGCTGGTAAAATGAGCTGCTAAGACGGCCCTGTGGGTTTGTGGTAAAAGATCAAATGAGGTGAATTATGTATATAAACAGCTAACATTTGCCAAGCACTAACAACAGTTAGTTACACATGTTATCTCATGCAATGGCACCCAGAACGTGACAGCCCCCAAGTGTTACCCTTCCCAAATCAGCTTCCAGTTCCTCGGGGCTGAGCTCCCAGAGATGGATTCCTCCTCTTCCCTTGGTCTCTCCCTCCCCTGCCCACTAGGATGTGATGTATAGATGGTGCCTGGTGGCTCACCGGGGTCACCACCACTACAGAGTCAAGAAGAGGGGTCCCTCTGCAGTTTGACCAAAACAGGAAGGTTTTGTGCCTGTTTTTTTCCTGGAATCCTGAAGTTTGAGAATTCCTGTGCTGCCACCTGCTGGTCAGTACGGTAAGAGCAGGCGAGCTCACACCCAAGAGCACTTCATTAGGGAACTTTAGAATAATTACAATGAGGGTGATATCGAAATCCTATCCTATATAATTCTATATAATAAAAGG